AGCCTCCCTAGTAGCTGGCACCACAGGCGCCTGCCACCATGCCTGGTTAATTTTTTGTATTTTTAGTAGAGACGGGATTTCACCGTGTTAGCCAGGATGGTCTTGATCTCCTGAACTTGTGATCCGCCCACCTCGGCCTCTCAAAGTGCTGGGATTACAGGTGTAAGCCACCGCGCCCGGCCTCAATAAACTCTTTAAACACAGTTTTAAAAATGGGTTGAGGTTGTAGTACCTACAAACAGTGGGATATCATTCAGCACTGAAAAGAAATGAACTGGTCGGGAGCAGTGGTTTATGCCTGTAATCCCAGCACTTTGGGAGACTGAGACGGGTGGATTGCCTGAGCTTAGGAGTTCTTGAACAGCCTGGGCAACATGGTGAAACCCTGTCTCCACTAAAATACAAAAAATTAGCCAGGTGTGGTGGCCTGTGCCTGCAGTCCCAGCTACTCCAGAGACTGAGGCAGAAGAATCGCTTAAACCCGGGAGGCGGAGGTTGCAGTGAGCTGAGATCGCGCCACGGCACTGCAGCCTGGGTGACACAGTGAGACTCCATTGCAAAAAAAAAAAAAAAAAAAAAAAAAAAAAATTAAACCCGGGAGGCGGAGGTTGCAGTGAGCTGAGATCGCGCCACGGCACTGCAGCCTGGGTGACACAGTGAGACTCCATTGCAAAGTTAAAAAAAAAAAAAAAAAAAAAAAAAAAAGAAGCTATTAAGCCATGAAATGATATGGTGGATTTGGGAGGCCGAGGTGGGCAGATCACTTGAGGTCAGAAGTTAGAGACCATCCTGGCCAACATGATGAAATCCCGTCTCTACTAAGAAGATACAAAAATTAGCTAGGTGTGGTGGTGCACGCCTGAAATCCCGGCTACTCAGGAAGATGAGGCACAAGAATCGCTTGAACCTGGGAGGCAGAGGTTGCAGTGAGCCAAGTACACTGTACTCCAGAGCAGGACCCTGTCCACCTCCCCTCCCCACCACCCCGCCAAAGAAAAGATATGGTGGAACCTCAAATGCCTTACTAAGTGAAAGAAGCCAATCCAAATGTATGATTCCAACTATATGACATTGTGGAAACAGGCAAAATTGTGATGACAATAAAATGATAAAATGATAGTTGATTGTCGGGTTGGAGGGATGGAGAGATGAATGGGTGTTGTTTAGGGCAATGAAACTATTCTCTGTGAAACTGTAATGGTGGCTACGTGTCATTACATATATGCCAAAACTTGCAGAACATACAACAAGAGTGAACATTGATGTACACTGCAGACTTTGGGTGATAATATTGTGTTCCTTGATTGTAGCAAAGGTACCACTCTGGTGTGGAATGTTGATAGAAAGGGAGGCCATCCCTGTGTGTCGGCATGGGGAATATGGAAATTCTGTACTTTCCACTAAATTTTGCTATGAACATATGTAATATACACACACACACACACACACACACACACAGGTATATGTGTGTGTTTATATGTATTCCACACATATACACACACACACATATATATGAGACAGTCTTGCTCTGTCACCCAGGCTGGAGTGCAGTGGTATAATCATGGCTCACTGCATCCTCAACCTCCTGGGCTCAAGCTATTCTCCAACCTCAGCCTCCTGAGTAGCTGGGACTACAGGTGCATGCCACCATGCCTGGCTAAGTTTTGTATTTTTTGCAGAGAGGGGTTTCGCCACATTGCCCACGCTGGTCTCAAACTCCTGAGCTCAAGCAATCCTCCCACTTTGGCCTCCCAAAGTTCTGCGATTAGAGGTGTGAGCCACTGCATCTGGCCCCCGTTGTTTTTAATAAAGTTTTTTTTTTTTTGGTTGGGTACAGTGGCTCACAACTCTAATCCTAATATAACAACAAGAAACAAAAACACACGCACACAAACAAAACAACTCTAATCCCAGCACTTTGGGAGGCTGAGGCAGGAGGATCGCTTGAGCTCAGACATTCAAGACCAGCCTGGGCAACATAGTGAGACACTGTCTCTACAAAAAATAAAAATTAGCCTCACATAGAGGTGTATGCCTGTAGTCGCAGCTACTCAGGAGGTTGAGGCTGGAGGGTCACTTGAGCCTGGGAGGTTGAGGCTGCAGTGAGCCATGACTGTGCCACTGTACTCCAGCCTGGGTGACAGAGACTGTCTTAGAAAAAATGGTTTGAGGTCAGAAAGTTCACATTTTGATGAGCAGAGGGGCAGCATTGGAGTGTGTTAACTCAGGAGGAAAAAAACAATTCCTAAGGAATCAGACAATGTATTTTACTCAGTCATTTATTCTGAGCTCCCAGGGAGGAGCTGCAGGCAGGCCCTCTGATCTGAGAGTGCTTATTCTCTGAGGGGGAGACATAGATAGACATAGATAGGTACAGCTCAGGGTGATCAGGGCTATGAAGTAGGGACCAATGGCCTCTTGGGAACATAGGGAACTCTGCCTGAGAGGGTTAACATATTATTTTGAGTTGGATGAAAAGGATGAACCTTGCTTTTGTGAAGAGTTCAGGATCTTGTGAAGGCCCATGCAGGGTAGGGTTTATAGGACTGTATTTATGCAAATGTGTCAGGGCTGCAAAGCCAGCTACGCAATGGAACAGGGGTGCAGAATGAGGCCTATGTGGACCAAGCAATGAGGGTCTACGTATAGGCTGGATGGGGATAAGTGTATGATGTCAGTTCAACGTTGGACTAGAATTGAGGTCAGGAATGGAGCAAGTTAACATAGGGCTGAAGTGATAGGCGCATGGACTCCCAAAGGGCAGAATGTGAAATAAGCTCCTGAAATAAAACCTGGGTGGCTGTGGGGAGGAGTCTTGTGAGGAGAGAGAGCAACAGGGACGGTGCTTCATATTTGGGACCTCATTGGTTAAGTCTGCAGAGTGCCAAGAGGGTACACAAAGAAGGCTTAGGAGGGAGATGATTTACTCAGTACTTTATTGGACCATGGCAATACCTTTCCCTGCCTGGCACTGGGAAGTGGGAAAGGGGGCGATATAGGAAACAGTGCTCACAGTCTATTATCTGTAATCTCTCAGAGCTGAGAAGAGGCCAGGAGCCTACTGGCTCCCTACAACCACAGGTGAAGAGTGCTGCACTTGAACAGGCAACAGCTTAGAAGCATGAGCAACTCTTAAATCTGCCCCTTTCCCTAAGACTGACATCTGCAGAAGCTCTGGTCCTTTCCCTCGGGCACTAATGGGGGTCCCTAACAATTTGAAAGACAAAGTTGGCCTGGCCAGTGGTGTGAAAAGCCTTGCCCAGACCAGGTACTGAAGGAGAGGTGGACTGCAGAGAAATGAGAAGGGCCTGTAAAGAGGGGCCTGCTCTCTAGTCTACTCCTTCCCACAATCTCCATCACTTCCTCTTTTCCTCCCCTTTTCATGCCATCCTTTAACCCCAAATTATACTTTCTCTTTTACCCTTCTCAGCTGTGTGACCTTGGTGTACAGAGGACCTTTGGTCAGTGCTGAGTAGCAGAGTCTCAACCATGTTGCATGTTCCAGTGCTTCCTTTCTCTGTGACTTTGTAGCCTTGGTCATCTGTCACTAGGAAAGCATGGGACACCAAGTCTTAGGCAGGTCTATTAAGGAGCAATCATATGTCTAAGTTACAGCTAAGGGGAGGGAAGAAGGGTGTGAAGACGACTTTGGTCTCCTGATATCTCAGTACCTCCTGAGAAGCGCTGCAGGTTTGTTACTCTGTAATCTGTTAGGGAGAAGAAACTCACCCTCTCAAAATCCCAAACAAGAAAGAACAAGTTGTAATTGGATGTCATCACCATCAATCATCTTGAGTAAAACAAGGGGTGTAGGTAACATCAGGAAAACGAATCAGTGATCAAGCACATCCCTTGAGCCCCTTCTAAGGGTGGGAAGGGGGTCTCCAGGTCTTCACATCTTTGGAATAGCTCAACTGGTTTTCCTGTGTACGGAATGGTTCAAGGAGAAGGACTTGATACCAGAGGACTAAGAAACAAATGCAGGTAAGATCTTATTCTTCATATATCCTTGAGGAGAAAAGTGAAAGACTTTTTTGAAAAACTCTTGACTTGTATCTGTCTTCTGGAGTCCTGATTGGGGAAAGGAGTGGTGTATCTTTCACTCTATGCTTTTATTTATTTATTTTATAGAGACAGGGTCTCCCCGTGTTACTCAGGCTGGTCTCAAACTCCTGGGCTCAAGCGATCCTCGGGCCTCAGCCTCCCAGAGTGCTGGGATTACAGGTGTGAGCCCACACCCGGCCCAGAGCTTTATAAACATTATTAACTAATTTGGAACCTGGCAAAGAGAAGGAACACTCCTCCGATCTCTGCCTAGAAATTTCCCCTAAAACACTTGGGCAAGTCACTTTGCCTCTTTAAGCTTGTTTCTTCACTTGTAAAATGGGAACATCATGCATAGCTTCCAGGGTTGCTGTGAAGATATGTGAATCAAATAGAGTGGGTGCTCAATAAATGGTAGTAAGTGTTTCTTAACCTTTTATGGATCCTTCGAAACTTAAGACACATGAACCTCCCTAGTTGAGGAAAAACTTGTGATAAAGACTAACTTCGTTCTTTCTATTCTGGTTAGCCTCAATTTCCCCATCCAGAAAATGTCATGTTAGATTAGTATCAAGTTGGTATTCCATTGGCCAAAGCTAGCCTGAAAATATGTTTTATTTGCCACGTACAGAATTTAAAGAAGAAAACTGAGCCCACATTTGAAAATTAAGATGTTTTACATGGAAATCTAGTTTTCCGGTTTCTCTTGAAAAAATCAGAAGATGGAACAACACTGAGCCCACATTCCCGCCTGGCAGTAATCTGCTAGGGCCAAATGGAGGGTGCTCCTTAGTCAAGGCATCCATTCTCAGTTTGCCAGGGTCCATCTGGCCTTCTTTACTCATTTATTTGATCTGCTTAGCCCTGTAGGCATTTCGATTTGTAGCCCCTCTAGACAGCTGGAAACTGTCTATGCCTGGCACAGAACTAGAAATTAATCAGTGAATCCCCCGCTATTTCTTTACATCATTTTTTCTTATTTGGACAAAGAAAAAAATCCAAGTTTGCCTTTATCTATGGTAGCTATTGGATAACTGATTTTTCACTTTGAGAAGTGAATTGAACAAGTCCTTTCTGTCAGTCTGGATAGACTAGGTTAGGCTGTGGTAACAATCCCCAAATCTCAGTGGCTTAAAACAACAAAGGTTTATTTCTTGCTTACTCACACAAACCTAGACACAAAATGAAAACACTCTACTGTTTTCACATGCATGGAGACAGACATGAGTGCATAGGTACGTACAGAATCATGGAATCCTGGGATATAAACTCATGCAAACACGTTTATAGATACTGGTCAGCCTAAATAGCACAACTCTCTCTTTATTGGGGATTTCAAGAGATCCCAGGACCCAAGAAGGGTACAAGAATATCCACCATCAGCCAAGGAAATGCCCACACTACCAAAGGAACTGAAAGCTAATGAAGCACCTGAAAGCTTAAATAAACAAAAAAGCCCGAAGCTTGTACTACATTAAATTCCATGCATAAATCTCTAAGTAAAGCACTAAATATACAGTGCCAGCAGGCTGTCACCTCCCTGCCACAGCAAGGCAGCCTCCATCTCCAGGTTTCTAGCTCAGGAGGGAGATGGACCCCAGACGGCCAATATGCAGAGCAACGGAGGGGGCTGGGCTGGGTCGAAGACAGGGGCCAACAGGCTGGAATCCTCTTCCTCCAGCAGGAGCTACAGGCAAGAAGGAACGGGCAGGATGAGGTCACATCCGTTTTTCCTCCTAGCAACCCCCTCTTTTTACCGAATCCAATCCAGGCCTCATCATTGTTCTCCTGGATGATTTCACAGACCTCCTTGCTAATTTTTCCACCTCTAGTCTTGCCTCCTCCAAACCCTTCATCAAAGCCATCTGCTTGTCTTTCTAAAGCTCAGGGTCTCTGAGTTTGTCCTTGCTTAGTTCAGAAATGTTCCCTGGCTCCCCTTCATGTACAGTTGCTGGTCTAGACACCTAAGCCTGGCATGCCGGGTCTCCAATATCAGAAGCCTCTCCAGCCTCCTTTCCCTCTGTTCTAGCAGTTGCTCCAAGCCAGTTTGTCCAATTCACTATTTGGACAGGAGAATTCGCAGCTTTCCCTGTCTGTCCCCCTAGGTGTTTCTCACTCTTCAAGGTTCCTCCAGTCTTCTCCAGGTTTGTCACTGAGCCTTGTGAAGGCATCCAGGTTCCCCAACTAGAACGGAAGCTCCTTGAAGGCATTTATCAGACCTCCTCCCAGGCCAGACCCCACTCCAGACTTCAGCAGGCAGCCTGGGTCCAGAGACAGAGTGTTGGGTTCCCTACCACTGTCTCGCTGTATGCCCTTAGGCAAGTCCCTGCCTTTCTCAGGGCCCCACTTTCCTTGATATCAAGAAATTTGCTGTCAAGTGCCAAACTGATAAAATTGATTCGCTGAATAACTCTCAACTGCAATCCCAGGGGCCATGCTGAGGAGCTTGGTTGGGGTCCTGGGCCTGAAGACGTTCAACCTGCTGACCCCCTCATCTCCTTGGTTAGTCCCTGTGTACTTCAGTGACCTCCATTTCCCAGCCATCCCTATCCCATCCTCTCCTTTCATGGAACACATTACCTGGTGGGCCACAGGGGTGAAGCAGGGAGATCCAGGCAGGGTTAGGGGGCACAGAAGGGGTCACACGAGGAGCCTGGGATGAATCTTTCAGCCCCACGAGGGCTTCAGCTGCCTCTTGCTGCAGCTGCCGCTCTGAGGGGGCAGATGTCCGGGCCAGGCGAGAGGCTCCAGAGGCCTGCAAGGGAAAGGGAGACAAGCAGACTGGGAACCCCACCTTCTGCCTACCCTCTAAGTGTTCCTCAGCCCCTGCTTCCTTCAGTTTCCTGCTTTTCCCTTCCCCAGGCTCAACCTCCTCCCAGGACCCTAGATCCCACTTCTTTCCCAGGACCTGTGGCTGTAGCTGAAGAGGGTCTGGGGTGCCACAGGGCTGGAGTATCAGAGTTGAGTGTCTAGAAACAAGGAGAGAAGATGCCAGGGTGGTTAAACACATGAACAGACATGCACACATTGAAAGAGGGGCAGGGTTTTGCCATGTTTTTATCTGGGAATTTGAGAGCCTGCTGGGCCATTAAGCTGTGTCTTGATTTATTTTATTTTCAGTAAAGTAAAAATCCTTGCCAGCTTTTTCCTCCCAGGGCTACTGTGACGATTATGGGAAATCACTGGTGTCTTTTTTTCTTTTTTCTTTTGAGACAAGGTCTTGCTCTGTTACCTAGGCTGGAGTGCAGTAGCGGTGTGATCATAGCTCACCATAAGCTTGAATTCCTGGGCCTACACCATCTTCCCACCTCAGCCTCCTAAGCAGCTAGGAAAACAGGTGTGCACCACCATTCCTGGCTGTTTTACTTTTTTGGTAGAGACGAGGTCTCACGCAGTTACTCAGGTGGTCTCAAACTCTTGGCCTCAAGCAATCCTCCCACCTCAGTCTCCCAAAGTGTTGGGATTATAGGTGTGAGCCACTAGGCCCCGTTGTATTTCAACTACAAAAACACTAATGACCGCAACACCCAAATCCAACCCACTTATAAAAATAATCAACCACTCCCTCATTGACCTACCCACCCCATCTAACATTTCCATATGATGAAACTTTGGCTCACTCCCCACCTGATGTCAGTTTTTAAAAAACACCTAGAAGACTGGGATTACTGTCCCTGCCCTATCAGAGTCTGGGTCCCATTCCCCCAGTTCCCCAATCCCCACAGAACTTGAAGGAGAGCTTGGCTCACCTTTGGGAAGCTTTCCCTAATGTCCTCTGGCCCCTCTCCTGGGTCTCTGAGGCTCTCATCATCACTGCGCCCCCATATCAGGAGGCAATCTTACCCCATCAAATCTGTCTAAGCAGATATAACAGCTACCATTAAAGGGTCTATTCCATACATTATTGCTAATTCTTTTGTTTTGTTTTGTTTTTTGAGATGGAGTCTTGCTCTGTCGCCCACCCTGGAGTGCAGGTGGCAATCTCAGCTCACTATAAGCTCCACCTCCTGGGTTCACGCTATTCTCCTGCCTCAGCCTCCCAAGTAGCTGGGACTACAGGCACCCGCCACCACGCCTGGCTAATTTTTTTTTGTATTTTTAGTAGAGACAGGGTTTCATCATGTTAGCCACGATGGTCTGGATCTCCTGACCTCATGATCTGCCCACCTCAGCCTCCCAAAGTGCTGGGATTACTTTACAAAGATTACAAAGGCTTGAGCCACCGAGCGCAGTCCATTACTGCTAATTCTTACAACAACCAGAGAGGTAAGTAATAGTGTCTCCAATTTACTGATAGAAAAACAGGCTCAGAGAGGTAAAGATAATTGTCCAAAGCATCATGGCTAGGAAATGGCAGTACTAGGAGAGCTCTGCCTTGCCTATTAGTCAGAGACCTTTTCATCTTTATTATCCACTGTGGTTGGACACCAGCACTGTGGTTGGACACAGCACAGGCTTAGGCTCATGATACACATCCTTCTCTCCCTACTCACGTGCGGGGTTGGCTAGGGGGCCCTTGGGGCTCTCCAGAAAGAGGAGCTGTCAGTACTGGGTGAGATCCTGGGCAGGTGGTGAAGGGCCCATGAGTGGGCAGCTGGAGGGAAGTGCCAGGGTCAAAGCCTAATGAGAATAAAAGAACACAGAGTGTATAGGGGTCAAGGTCATAGTTTCTTTCCTCCCTCTCCCCATGTGTGCTTTCTTCCTCTTCCCTCTCCAATAAGTAGCAGATTGGCACTCAAATATCTGTTGAATGAATGTTGAATTATCATCTTACCAGGGAAGGGAGGCAGAGAGAGAGCAGGTTCTTGGTATAGCAAGCGGCACACCACTGGTGGTGGCATGGAGAGGCCTGGAGGCAGCCAGTGTCCAGGAACCCAAGGGCCAGGAGGCACCGGAGTCCAGGACAAGGGCAAGGCTTCCGGGGGATGGCTGAGCAGCAGAGGCCCACAGGAGTTCTGTAGGGGCAGAGGGCACACGCTGGAGTTGGGTACAAGGCTGAAGAAGGATTGAGTGTATTCTGGGATGCGGGCAGAACCCCAAAACTTTAGAGCTGGGAGGCCCTCATTTTCCCCTCATTTTGCCTAGAGAAGAGCAGTGATTTGACCAGATTACACGGCAAACCAGGGCTGGGGCTAGAACCCAGGTGTTGAGGGCACAGAAGAAAGGGTCTGGGTAGGAACTAGGGTGGGGGATACTTTCTCAGGCCCCAGCCTCTCCTTACCTTCCCAGGAGGTGTTGGTGCCAGCAGGACTGCCCCATGGGGGGTCTGAGGCTGGGGTGCTATGTTCTCCTTTCCAGCTGTGAAGGACCAGGGAGAGCTCTAATAAGCCCTTTCTCCTGACTCCTATCCTACCCCAGACAGTTCTCATCTTCCCCATTTAGCCCTTTTTTTTTTTTTTGAGATGGAGTCTTGCTCTGTTGCCCAGGCTGGAGTGCAGTGGCGCGATCTTGGTTCACTACAACTTCCACCTCCCAGGTTCAAGTGATTCTCCTGCTTCAGCCTCCTGAGTAGCTGGGACTACAGGTGTGCGCCACTAAGCCCAGCTAAGTTTTGAATTTTAGTAGAGACGGGGTTTCACCATATTGGCCAGGATGGTCTCGATCTCTTGACCTCGTGGTCTGCCTGCCTTAGCCTCCCAAAGTGCTGGGATTACAGGCGTGAGCCACTGCGCCTGGCCTCTAGCTCATTTTTGACCCACAGAACTTGCTGCATTCTCTCAATGCTGGGACAGCCGAGGCTGAGGGAGTAGAAACCCTTAGTTCAAGGTCGCACACTAATTCAGCGGCGGGGCTGGGCCTCTTTTTCCCACATCTGCCTCCTACACCCAAACCCCTGCCCCGTCGCTGGCCAGAGACACTCACAGGGGACCTGTGGTCGAGTAGTTCCCTTTCTGAAGTGGTTGGGAGCTTTGGGAGAGGCTTCCCCTCTCCTCAGCAGCTGCTTCTTTAGCTGCGCCTCCTGCTGCCTACGCAAGGCCACCTGGGCAGCCATGACCCTGCGGCGCTCCCTAAAAGTGGGGAGTTGTGAGTCAAAGGTCAGTCACCCTTTGGAGGAGGCCCATCCTCCTCCCCTCCCAGACCTCATACTCACAGGATGAGGACACATTTGTGACACTCGCAAGCCTGGAAGAGGCAGAGGCGCTTGTGGCCCTTGAGGTGGGCGGTGACACCGTGGTTGCGGCAGCGGGCGCAGGTTGGAGAGCGGCTGATGGCTCTCCTGGGGATCAGCTCTGTGCCCTGGGGGTCTCTGGTCTCATTCCGGGGGGCAGAGTCTGACGGGCAGTGGTAGCCAGCAGGCATGTCACTGGGTTCCATGGATCTAGGGGCAGGAGTGGAGGGTGAGCATAGCCAGGTGGGCCCGCCCCAACAACCCTCCTGCCTTGGAGACCACACCTGCAGGTCTCCATCCTGCCCCTCTTTAGACCCCGCCCTGATCCTGGCTTCTTCCCCTGCTTTCTCCCCTCTTTACCCCATGACCTTTCTCAGGTATCTTCCTTCTTCAGAAACCCTTCTCCTCTTCCTCTTTTTTTTTTTTTTTGAGATGGAGTCTCACTCTGTCTCCCAGGCTGGAGTGCAGTGGCACCATCATCTTGGCTCGCTGCAACCTCCACCACCCCGTTCAAGCGATTCTCCTGCCTCAGCCTCCTGAGTAGCTGGGATTACAGGCATGAGCCACCATGCCCGGCTATTTTTTTCTTTTTTTTGTATGTTTAGTAGAGATGGTGTTTCACCATGTCGGCCAGGCTGGTCTTGAATTCCTGGCCTCAAGTGATCTGCCTGTCTCGGCCTCCCAAAGTGCTGGAATTACAGCCACTGCACTCGCCTCCCCCTTTTTTAAATTAAAAATTTTTTAGGCCGGGAGCGGTGGCTCAAGCCTGTAATCCCAGCACTTTGGGAGGCTGAGGCAGGCGGATCACGAGGTCAGGAGATCAAGATCATCCTGGCTAACACGGTGAAACCCCGTCTCTACTAAAAATACAAAAAATTAGCTGGGCGTGGCAGTGGCGGGCGCCTGTAGTCCCAGCTACTTGGGAGGCTGAGGCAGGAGAATGGCATGAACCCGGGAGGCGGAGCTGGCAGTGAGCCGTGATTGTGCCACTGCACTCTAGCCTCGGTGACAGAGCAAGACTCCGTCTCAAAAAAAATTTTTTTTTTTAAATTGTTTATTTTTATTTTCATAGAGACAAGGTCTCACTATGTTTCCCAGGCTGGTCTCGAACTCCTGGGCTCAAGTGATCCTCCTGCCTTGGCCTCTCACAGTGCTAGGATCACAGGCACGAGCTGCTGTGCCTGGCCTTCTGTATTCTTTCAATTCAAACATTCTTTTCTTTCAGTCCAAACACCTTCCCACCCACACACACATCCCAGGTTCTGGCCTACTCATGTCCTCCCATACCGCTTCAGCGAGTACTACACCCCCTTTTCACAAGCACCCTGTTCCATCCCAACAGTGTTTCCTGGCATCCTCTTCAATAACGCTCACCCCACTGTCATGCATTTATCCAATGCCTACCAATAGTTTTATGCCCCTTTCAATTCTTAGTTCAATTTCAATTCTTAGTCTCATCTATGCCCTGCAAAGCAACTGCCTCCTTGCATTCCTTCAGTCTTTTGTTCTTGTACCCCTTTAAATCAGAACCCTCTCTTACACCCCCAATAATTACATTATTCTCATGGATTCCCTGCTCCACTGTCTTTTTTTTTTTTTTTTTTTAATTGACAGGGTCTCGCTCTGTTGCCCAGGCTGGAGCGCAGTGGCGTGATCATGGCTCACTGCAGCCTGTACCTCCTGAGCTCAAGCAATCCTCCCGCCGCAGCCTCCTGAGTAGCTGGGACCACAGGCTGGAGCCACTGCGCTCGGCTCCCCTGTCCCACTTTCTTTTTTTTTGTTTTGAGATGGAGTCTTGCTCTGTAGCCCAGGCTGGAGTGCAGTGGTGCGATCCCGGCTCACTGCAACCTCCGCCTCCTGGGTTCAAGCAATTCTGCCTCAGCCTCCCAAGTATCTGGGATTACAGGCCTGGACCACCATGCCCATCTAATTTTTGTATTTTTAGTAGAGACAGGGTTTCACCATGTTGGCCAGGCTGGTCTTGAATTCCTGACCTCAAGTGACCTGTCTGCTTCGGCCTCCCAAAGTGTTGGGATTACAGGCGTGAGCCACCACACCCGCCACCTGCCCCACTTTCGAGTTATTTTCCTTCATTCCTTCATTAATTCCACAAATGGTTACTGAGCCCCTGTCATGTGCTAGGCCCTGATCTGGGCCAAAAACCTTCTCCTCGGGGCACTAATGTCTCTCTTGCGCCCACACATTATTCAGGTTTTTGCGTAAACCCGTGCGGTTGCTGTGTCCAGCACTTCCTGCTCCTGTGCCCACTCCCAACAATTAATTTCATGCATTTCCCCCTCCCCCCTTCCTGTGCCCCAGGGAACGAGTGGAGCACGGGGAACGCGCCAAGGGGCCCGCGAGGCGGGGAAGGGGAGAGGGGGCGCGAGGGCGGGAGGGGCGCGAGGAGGAGGCGAGGGGATGCCTGGGGTAGGGAGTCCAGCTAAGAGGGAGGAGGATGGAAAGGCAGGAGGGGCCGTGTTCGTGCAGCTGGTTCACGGTTACCACAGCCTCCAATGGAGTCAGATTCAGTCAAGAAGACGCCAAGGACACTGCGAGAAAGTGGCCAGAGGAACGGCCAAGCTCGCGCTGCTTTTCTTGCCCTATCTCACAAGGACCAATGAACTTCAAGCATCGCCTCTGTCCGCCCAGGCAGAGGACCAATGCGGTTTGAGATCCTGAACTGATGTCCCGCCCCTTCCCTTCTGCCAGCTTCTTGGCGCGCAAGACTATCAGTCCTGCCAATAGCGCTTCGAGTTGAGCCTCGCACCACCCCTGCCCCTCCCTCCGCACGTCATGCCTGGCCAGACTGTCTTTCCTCTTTCAAGGCAGGTGGCCAATGGGGCGTCGAGTACCCCTTCTTGGACCGAGGCTGGCCCCGCCCCCCAGGAACGGCCCGCCTGGCCCCGCCCCCGGGGCGTTGACTAAGCCCGGTCTGCCCACGGGTAGCCTCGCTTCTGGCCTTTGCGTGCCTTCTACCTTGACTTCGCGAGTGGCTTGTTTTTGCTGCGTGGACTCCCGCGTTTTCTGTTATTTCTCTTCTGGTGTCCCACAACTCCTGAGCTACCCTTCTTTTATGCGTTCTCTCCCAGCCCTGTGATTTCCCTGCTTGCTTAGCAGGCCCTCCTTCCTCAGATTGCACCCCTTTCCTTGTGTCTCCCACGCTGCCTTTGTGTCAGTTGTGATTTTCCTAATCTCTGATTTTCCCAATCTCTGATTTTCCGTTTCTCTCGGACCTATTTTCTCCCGTGCTTCATTCCCTGATAGCCTGGCCCCTTCCCCGCTTCCTTCGCTACCCGGGACGCCTCTAGTTTTTCTGAATTTCTGGCTGGCTCCACCCTCCGCGTTCATCTTCCTCAAGAGTTCACCCCTCTAGGGGCTCCTCTGTGTAATCGTCGCCTTCTCTGGGTATCTCTGTGAGCTCCGTCTCACGCCATCCCGCCATCTTCTCTGCCTTGGCCCCTTTTCTCTGTGCAGCCCGCTCTGTGTCCCTTTTTCCCCCCTCTGAGATCGACTCCTCTTCTCCCTGAGAACCCCGCCTTTGTGCCCCACTCCTCATTTTCCTACGCCTCCCTCTCTCTGCTGGTCCTCTGTCTCCCTGCAAGGTTTCATTCCATCAATTTGTTTGTCTTTTGTAGGGGTGGCATCCCCTCTTGACTACTGCTCCATCCTTTTTTTTATTTTTATTTTTTTTGCTTGAGAATTTCATTTCAGTCTTTTCTGGTTGCGTCTCCACTTGTACTCAGCTCGTTGAGTCCAGTTGTTTTGCATCTCAGGCTGGCGTGTGCCATCTTCTCTGATTGGCCTAGTCCCCGCCGCCGTGAGATCCTTTGTCAGCCTTCGTTTCTCTTACCTGTGTCCCAGCTTTTCTGTGGGTCTTAGCACCTTTCTTGGCCACAGATTTCTGGGTTACAGAGCACGTGTGTCTGAGGCGTTGCAGACAGAAAAGGGTGGCCGACGTGACCTCTAGCTGGACTGCTGGGCAGGGGAGCTGTCCTATATAAAATTGGAAAGGTTGGGTGGCGCTGATCTGGGGTGGGGTGGCGTCGGGGGAGGCTTAAAGGCCAGCTAAAGAGGATGAACTTGATCCTTTAGGTAGTGGAGAGAGAGTGAGAGGAAGTGGGTGTGGGAGGGAGGGATGGTGGTGGAGGAACAGGGTAACCAACAATTATAAAGAGCTTAGCATTTGCCTAACACTTATGATAATAATTTTATTGATCTTCACAATGACCCTATGAAATGTATTATACTCCATTTTATAAACAAGGTAGTAGGCTCTGAGTTCAACAAATTGGACAGCTAGTAAGGGAAGTGAGTAAAGATTCCAACCTGGGTCTCCGAGGCCAAGGTCTATGATCTTTGTACCCCCTCCTGCACTGTTACTTTCCACCAATTCCCCGCTTTCATTCCCTAACCTTCTTATAGGCAGTTCTCATTCTGAGGTGGTTAATAATATGTATCTTTTGGTTTATGTGTGTGTTCTCCCAGGATGCTTGTAGTGTTTTTTTTTTTTAAGAGATGGGGTTTTCCCATATTGGCCAGTCTGGCCCCAAACTCCTGGCCTGAAGTGAACTGCCTGCCTCGGCCTCCCAAAGTGCTGGGATCACAGGCATGAACCACCACACCCAACCTGTGTTTGAGTTTTTAATTTATGCAAGTGATACTGTGTTATCTACTATTTAAAATAATCAGCACTCTGCTTTTACAATCTATCCATGTATACATTCTGTCATTCTGTCATTATGCGTACTTTTTTTTTTTTTTTTTTAAGATAGAGTTTCACTCTTACTGCCCAGGCTGGGGTGTGATGGTGTGATCTCGGCTCACTGCACCCTCCACCTCCCGGGTTCAAGTGATTCTCCTGCTGCTACAGCCTCTTGAGTAGCTGGGATTACAGGCTCCCACCACCACACTCGACTAATTTTTGTATTTTTAGTAGTCGGGGTTTTGCCATGTTGACCAGGCTGGTCTTGAACTCCTGACCTCAAGTGATCGGCCCACCTCAGCCTCCCAAAGTGCTGGGATTACAGGCGTGAGCCGCTGCGTCCTGCCTTACATCCTGTGTACATCTAATCAACTGCTTCCAACTCCTGTGTGATATTCCATAGTGTACATCCCCAGCATGTTTTGCATCCACTTGGTCTCAGAGAGGGAAGCTCCCATTGTCTCAACCTACCATCACCACAATAATGCTGCATTCACTGGGCACAGGAGCTCATGCCTGTAATCCCAGAACTTTGGGAGGCCTAGGTGGGTGGATTGCTTGAGCCCAGGAGTTTGATAACAGCTGGGGCAACGTGGAAAAACCCCATCTCTACAAAGCTAGGCGTGTTGGCGCACACCTGTGGTCCCAGCTATTTGGGTGGCTGATGTGAGAGGATTGCTTGAACCTGGCAGGTAGGGGCTGCAGTGAGCACAACTGCCCTCCAGCTTGGGCAACAGAGCGAGACCCTGTCTCAGAAAAAAGAAAATGCTCCATTATTGTGCATGTTCCTTTGTAGATGAAGGTGGAAATTTTTGTAATACCTATGTAGGGTATACTAGAAATGGGTATTCATAAACCCAATTTGACCATGTAGTGTCAGACCCCTACAATGCTGCTTTGGGCCCGAGATCCTGGTCAGAACTCTCAGCTCCTGTGTTTCTCAGAGTCCAGAAATAGTGTCTTATTCCCCAGCCCTCCACATAATCCCATGAGCAGCAGGGGCCAAGGATTGCTTTATCTCCACATTCCTGCCAACACTTGTTTTTTCCCAGCTTTCTGATCCTTAGCAGTATGATAGACGTACAACTTGATGGATTGCATTTCTCTGGTTATTGTTGGGTTTGTGCATTTCTTCACTTTGTTTGTTTTGTTTTTTTTTGAGACAGGGTCTTGTTCTGTTGCCTGGGCTGGAGTGCAGTGGCATGATCTCGGCTCACTGCAACCTCCAGCTTCCGGGTTCAAGCGATCCTCCCGCCTTAGCCTCCATGGTAGCTGGGACTACAGGCACGCACCACCATGCCTGGCTAATTTTTGTATTTTTAGTAGAGAGAGTGTTTCAACTTGTTGGCCAGGCTGGTCTCGAACTCCTGACCTTGTGATCTGAGGCTAAAGCGATCCTTGAACATTAGCCTCCTGAGTAGCTGGGAATACAGGCACCTCCATGCTTGGCTAATTTTTAAACTTTTTTTTTTTTTGGTGTAGACAGGGTGTTGCCCAGGCTGGTCTCAAACTACTGACCTCGAGCAATCCTCCTGGCTCAGCCTCCCAAAACACTGGAATTACTGGCATGAGCCACTGTGTTGCCCAGGCTGGTCTTGAACTCCTGACCTCAAGGGATCCTCCTGGCTCAGCCTCCCAAAGCACTGGGATTAGAGGCATGAGCCACTGTGCCAGCTTGCATCGTCTCCCTTGATCAGATTTGCCAGGGAACTAACTCAATCTTTTCATAAAATGGATCTTTTTTGTAATGATGTTTGTTGTTGTTTACTATTTCATTGATTTCTGCTATCATCCTTATTTCCATTATTTTTTCGGGTAGGAGAGATTTGCTTTGTTGCTCCTTATACAATTTCTTGAACTAATTCGTGAACGTATTTATTTTTTAATGCTTCATATTTCCTGATACATGTATTTAAAAGTATAAATTTACTTCTAAATACTGCATTAGCTGCTGTGTCTCAAATTTTGATGTATATATTTTAAAAACCCTTTAATTTTGAAATGATTATTGGCTTACAGGAAGTTGCAAAAGTGGTACATAGAGTCCCTTGAGTCCTTCCTCCAGCTTTCCTATAGGGGCATCTTATATAACCATAGTATACAAGCAAGAAATTGACATTTGTACAATACTGTTTGTACAATCTCTACTCACTGCAACCTCCATCCCCGGGGCTCAAGTGGTCCTCCCACCTCAGCCTCCCAAGTGGCTGGGACCACAGGTGCATGCCACCACGCCTGGCCAATTTTTGTATATTTTGTAAAGATGGCCTTTTGTCGTGATGCCTGGGCTGGTGTACAGTACTCTTTAACTAGACTTCAGACCTTATTCAGTTTTCAGCAGATTTTACATGCACTTATGTGTGTGTATGTGTGTGTGTGTGTCTGTGTGTGTGTGTGTCTGTGTGTGTGTGTGTCTGTGTCTATGTCTGTGTGTGAATGTGTGTGTTATGTAGTATGTTTATTATTATTAAGTTCTAAATACTTTTTTTAAAAAAAACGGAGTCCCTATCTGCTGCCCAGGCTGGAGTGCAGTGGCGCGATCTCAGTTCACTGCAACCCCCGCCTCCTGGGTTCAAGCGATTCTCGTGCTTCAGCCTCCTGAGTAGCTGGCACTATAGGCTCGTGCCACCACCCCTGGATAATTTATATTTTATAGTAGAGATGGGGTTTTACCTTGTTGGCAGGCTGGTCTTGGACTCCTGACCTCAGGTGATCCGCCTGCCTCAGCCTCCCAAAGTGACGGGATTACAGGTGTGAGCCACCGCTCCTGACCTCAGTTCTAAATACTTTTAAATTTCCATATTGAACCAAGGGTTATTTAGTGATATGTTAACTTACACACACACACACACACACACACACACACACACACACACACACGAGTTTGAAGCATCTATTTGTTGCTCTGATCTCATTGCCTCTGGCTGGAGAACAGCCTGCATTATCAATAAGCCAGGATTCTCTGCTCAGCACCTTGTCCAATGGGAGGACGTAAGTGGGAGAGTGAGAGTCCTGCTTTGAGAAGCTAACATGGTGGGTGGTGCAGGTTAGACTGGAGGGCGGATAGTGGAGATGGGAAGACCTGTGATCCAGAAGGTCTGAGGGAGCCTATATCCCAGAAGCTGACGCAATCAACTTTCTGCTCCAGCAACAGTGACCCAGAGACAGGTGGACAAAGAATTTGGGGACTGACAGGAACTGAGCTTGGGATCCAGACTGAAACTGATTTCAGACTGACCTCTAGCACCCAGGACCCAGACACAGGACCATGGGACCCCAGCATTTGAGACTTGTGTTCTGCCTTCTGGGGGCCATCTCCACTCTGCCTCGTATGTCCTGTGGGGCTGGATGCTATAAGACCCAGAAAGGTGGGAGGCTGGATTCATGTCACTGGTGGAAGGAGGGCTGGGTATCTAGGTTTCGATGGGGACAGGACCTATGGGGACTGAACTCTTGGTTGGCAGTTCAAGGGCTCAGAAGGTGATGTGAGGGGCCAATGACTGGGAGAGCATTCTCTTTTTAGGGGTTGGAGCTCTTTTGTGCTATGAAGCAACAGCCTCAAGATTCAGAGCTGTTGCTTTCCATAACTGGAAGTGGCTTCTGATGAGGAACATGGTGTGTAAGCTGCAAGAGGGCTGCGAGGAGACGCTAGTGTTCATTGAGACAGGTGAAGCAGGTTAAGTTTGATCCATTTCCTTTTGCTTGCTCTTCTGACCCCCAGCTCTGCTCCCAGCACCCAGGGACTCTAGACTGGAATTCCACATAGTTACTAAATATATAAACAATTTTTTTTTGAGATGGGGAGTCTTACTATGTTGCCCAGGCTGGTCTCAAAACTCCTGAGCTCAAGTGATCTGCCCACTTTGGCCTCCCAAAGTGTCAGGATTACAGGCATGAGCCACTGTGCCTGGCCATTATTTATGTTCTGGATAATGTCAGACACTGGCAGGAGAGGAGCACAGCTCCACTGGTTGTGGTGTGGACTGGATAAGTGGGTAGAGTGGAGGTGAACAGATCCCTGGAGGAGGGCACAAGGGAGAGAGGAGTGGGGGGGGGGTGGTCCTGCACAGGAAGAATGAGGAGATCCAGATGGAGACCCCAGCATCTGAGCCCTGTGCAGCTGCACTGAGTGAACACGGGTTGGGGAAGGAGGCAAAGATTGTGACAGGCAGGGTGGGTGCAGAAAGAGCTGGGGGGAGGGAGGACTCTGGGTGAGGCCAGTGACACTAATCCGAGCTCTCTTAATCCTCTGCTCCTCAGGGACTGCAAGGTGAGTTGTGGGCTTTAAAGGCTGCAGCTCATCTTCGTCTTACCCTGCACAAATCTCCTACCTTGTCTCCCCACCCGGAGTGTCCATTGCCTCCTACAGTCGCGTCTGCCGGTCTTATCTCTGCAACAACCTCACCAGTTTGCAGCCTTTTGTGAAACTCAAGGCCAGCGCTCCTAAGTCTATCATATCTGCTTCCCGTAGCTGCCCGACCTGTGTGGGCGAGCACACGAGGGATTGCCTCCCAAATTTTGTCACCACTGATTCTTGCCCCTTGGCTGCCTCTACGTGTTACAGTTCCACCTTAAAACTTCAGGCAGGTGAGAGGAAAGGAATTTTGTTTATCAAATGCCTACTCTGCCAGGTGCTGTCCAGCACCTTCACATCTCAGAGAGGCTGGTGGGATCCGGAGGTGGGATTGGGGTTGCAAGGGACAGGGCGTATGAATTCCAAGGAAGAAGGGGAAGGTGCCTGGTGCCTAAGTCTCTGATGGGAGAGCAGGTGTTCTGGTTTGTGAGGGGCCTCTGGGAAGAAGGCAGGGGTCTTTTATTTATTTATTTATTTATTTATTTATTTATTTATTTTTGAGATGGAGTCTTGCTCTGTTGCCCAGGTTGGAGTGCAGTGGTCTGATCTCGGCCCACTGCAACCTCTGCCTCCCAGGTTCAAGTGATTCTCACACCCCAGCCTCCTAAGTAGCTGTGATTATAGGCATGTGCCACCATGCCTGGCTAATTTTTGTATTTTTAAGGGAGATGGGGTTTTGCCATGTTGGCCAGGCTAGTCGGGACCTCCTGGCCTCAAGTCCTCGAGTGATCCACCTGCCTCGGCCTCCCAAAGTGCTGGGATTACAGGGTGAGCCACTGCACCTGGCTAAAGGCAGGGCTCTTAAGTCTTGAAAGTGTTCCTGACTTCTCCCTCTCTTCCTTACAGGGTTTCTCAATACCACCTTCCTCCTCATGGGCTGTGCTCGTGAACATAACCAGCTTTTAGCGGATTTTCATCATATTGGGAGCATCAAAGTGACTGAGGTCCTCAACATCTTAGAGAAGTCTCAGATTGTTGGTGCAGCATCCTCCAGGCAAGGTCCTGCTTGGGGTGTCCTCTTAGGCCTCCTGTTTGCCTTCAGGGACTGACCATCTAACTGCACCCGACAAGCACACAGACTCTTTCACATAACAAATAAAATAGCAGAGTTCCCTTTCTGCGTTGTCCTGTGGTCCATGAGAGTGCAGAGGTGAGGAAGGTGTGAGGAAGGCCAAGCATGTCCAGGGAGTTGGGGACCCAGGAAGAGGAGCCTGGCAAAGTGACAGTGTCCTGCCCAGCAGCTAGGGGAGCTGAAATATTCCTTTTCTCCTTCCCCTTCCTCTGGAGGCTTGCGCTCCAGCCTGGGTTCAGCTACTGATCAAGGTCTGATTTCTGAGACCCTGGCCAAATCTCTCCCTTTTTATGGGCCTCAGTTTCCTCCTCTTTAAAAGAAAGGGTCTTATGAGTTAGAGAAGAGTCTCCTCAGGCCAATTTTTTTTTCTTCCTTTTTTTGAGATGGGGGTCTGTCTCACTATGTTGCCTGGTCCGGTCTCGAATCTTTGGCCTCAAGTGATCCTCCTGCCTCAGCCTCCTTGGTAGCTGGGATTTCACATGGGAGCTACTGTGTTTGGCCACCAGGGTGATTATTATCTGGGATTACTTATTGAGTAGCTACTCTGTATGCCAGACACTGTGCTAGTATCTGTGCTAGTGTTTTACATACAGGATATCATTTAATCCTCACAAGACCTCCGTGAGGCAGCTTTTATCTCTATTTTGCAAAGAGGAAACTGGCTCTAGGAGGTGAAACCTGCTCAAAGTAGCATCTCCCTTACCTCCCCTGCAGATTTCTGTCCCTGCTGAGGGAATTTCATTGAGAGATTGGAGAACTGAGATGATTTTATCTGCTCAGTAGTTTTTTTTTTTGGTAAGTTGGGAAATATGGAAGAGAGAGGAAAGAGCAGGGCTGGCGTGGTTGTTTTTTACCCGGAGTTCAGGTTCTGGGCTCCTAGGAAAGGAGAACAGTGTGATTCTTGTCTCTGGCCGTAAGGGGGCAGCAGATACACTCACCCTGCAACTTCATGCCTTTTAATGAGTGTGTGAGTGTGTGTGTGTGTGTGTGTGTGTGTGAGTTTGTGTGTTTAGGGGTGGGAAGTAGGGAATGCAGAGTCTCTGTGTCAGGCCATTTATGTGTGGAAACTCAGTTTATTTCTCTCTACTATCTTGTGAGGTTTAAAGGCGGTGACTTAGGGTACCTTTACTGTGGGTTAGGCATTTTCTGTGCATTACCTCATTCATCCTTACTACAACCTTATTAAATAGATGTTGTCGCCTCTGTGTTTGCATTTTACAGGCGAGGACACAGGCTTAACCCCTCAAGGCCACGAAGCCCACCTTTGTTAGTGGCTTGAGCAAGTGGGGTCTGAAGCACAGGTGGCCTGCACCTGGCCTCAGAAGTGGAACTGGTATGAGGTTTTGGTTACCATGGACCTCCATGACCCCCATGACCAATCTAGGTTCTGGAAGGGGTGGTTAGGAAGCCAGAATAGTCACAGCAAGTGGGATAGGGCTGGGTGGAGACCAGTGAGCCTATGACAAGAGGCCTTAGGTCACAGAGGGAGGTTTTAGTAGATGAGTTTTATCAGCAGGCTTCGCCCACCTCTTCCTAACATCTGACCAACTGGCCTGTTAGTTTTAGAAGGCTGAGCTGAGGCCTGGGTGGGCCAAGGTATACTTTCACAGATTGTCTTCAACCCACTAGCCAAGGTGGTTGAAGACATCAATGATCTTCAAAGGGAATGGACAAGTCAAAGGAAATGGTGTCCTACGTGTCCCAAATGGACGGCTTAATCCTGATACCAGGGACAGGACATATTAACTACATACAAAGGGTTATATGTAACAAAAATATTGGATATAGAGTGTGATTTAACAAATCCCAAGGACTCATCACCTAGCCCAAGAAATGGAGCATCAGGAGTAACTTGCTTTTTCCCACTGTGTTGTAGGCAGAGACAGTGGCTTGAGTCTTAGAGGTAGGGACATTCACTGTGAAGCTGGAGCAGACTCAGCCTCTCCAAGGTCATACTTTGGCTACAGAAAACAGTCCTGCCAGGGGTGTCAACAACCCTCGCCAACAACCCTAACATTTAGTCATGTGCACAGGGCTCACGACAAACACATTATAAAAGAATCAGGTTCTCCCTCATTGCGTCTTTCTCAGGCAGAACAGACTGGGTGGCTTTTCCTGGCAGTTTCTTCTTCCCATCTGTGTGCTCCCTGCAGCAGTGTTTGCAGATGACCCTTCCAGGGTCACTATCCATGGTGCTGATGTCCATGAACTATTGAAGGGCTGGTGAGTTGTGATCTTCCAGTCACATCTCTTTTATTGTTTGTTTTTCTTTTCTTTTGTTTTCTTTTTTCTTTTCCTTTTTTTTTTTTTTTTTTTTCTGAGATGGAGTCTCACTCTGTCAACCAGGTTGAAGTGTAGTGGCATGATTTTGGCTTACTGCAACCTCCACCTCCCAGGTTCAAGTGATTCTCCTGCCTCAGCCTCCCGAGTAGCTGGGATTACAGGCATGTGCCACCATGCCTGGCTAATTTTTGTATTTTTAGTAGAGACGGTGTTTCGGCATGTTGGTCAGGCTGGTCTCAAACTCCTGACCTCAGGTGATCCACTCCCGTCGGCCTCCCAAAGTGCTGGGATTACAGGTGTGAGACATCACACCTGGCCACATCTCTCATTCTTAACAACTGAGCTTGTCACTGAGGAGAAGGTGGAGAGGTACTAGGGGCATGGAGAGCCCTCTGTCTCCCTCTCTCAGGACTTGGATGGTGCTGGGGATGTCACTACAAAAACTGACGCCACAGTCAGGATAACCCTATCCAGGTGCCCATGTGTAGTTTGTAGTGAACAATCATGATAAAATGGCCTTGAGAGGAGTGAAGGATAGAACAAGCACCTCTCAAAGATGCACACATCCTCATCCCAAGATGTGTGAATACGGCACATGGTAAAAGACACTTAGCAGATAAATGAAGGATAATGACATGGGGAGATTATTGCGGTTTATCCAGGTGGGTCCAAAATAACCACAAGTCCCTTCCTTACGAGAGAGGGAGGCAGGGAAGTCAGTGAGGATGGAGGCACAGCACAGAGAGGTTTCAAGATGCTGTACTTCTCGCTTTGAAGATGGAGGAAGGGGCCAAAGTTAAGGATGCAGGCAGCCTCTAGTAATTGGAAAAGGTGAGGGAGCAGACTTTTCCCTGGAGCTGCCAGGAAGAACACAGCCAAGTGGACACATTGTTGTTGTTTTATGCCACTAAGTTTAGCAATGGAGTTGTCATCTCTGTTGCCCAGGCCGGCATGCAGTGGTGTGATCAGAGCTCATTGCAGCCTCAACCTCCTGGGCTCAAGCGATCCTCCCGCTTCAACCTCCTGAGTAGTTGGGACCAAGGCACACACCAACATGCCTGGCCTGTGGGAATTTGTCACAGCATCAACAGGAAACTGACACAAGAGATGTCACCTTGTCTCATCTGACGACGTGTGCAGGCGGGCTAAGGAATCATTTAGAGCTAAATCCTCATGTAAATTTACAGGTTGTTTTTCCTTTTCCCATCTCATGGCAAACAATCCTGGGCAGTGGCAGAACATCCTCAGGAACCATGGCTCTGTGCTTTAGTGCAGGGACCAGCCTGATTGTGGGAAGGTGGCACCTGGTCTGAGTGAACCTCCATGAGATCATTACACTCCCCGGGGCCCTCAGGAAGGACAGAGAACCTCTGGCCCAGGTATGTGGTGGAGCTGCAGGTGAGGCCTGAGTGGAGGGCCCTGCAGGCCAAGGAGAAGAGGAGACAGGTGGTCCCATTGCCACAGGAGACTGCGTGAGCTTTAGGTGAGACAGCCCTGTGTCTCTGACCTGGAAGCTCCTGTGTGGACAGGAGGATTGTTCAGTGAGATCCATGCCAGGGGGTAAAGTGGGAACCGATGGGAAATGATGGGCTAGAGTCCCAGGTAGTGTCTGGATCTTACTCCAGGACTAAATTCTGGGTCTGTCCTCCCCTTGATTACTCTGACAGCCCCTCTGTGTATCCCCTAATATGAGTAAAGATGTCCTGAGCGCTGGCCTTTTTGACAGAGAGTAAACCCAGTGGCCAGGGCTAGGCACTGTAGGTCCCTGGGGCAGTGTGAGGACAGCCGAGAGCTCGGCTGGCTGGGCAGTGCTCCTGTGAATCCCGCCCTTTCCTGTGTAGGGTCCCCCCCATTCTGACTCCCAACCCCCTATTTCTGCCTCCTAGGGAAAGAGAGACTGGGATTGAAATAAGTTGGAGATGACATGTGACCAGGAGAGAATAGATATGGAGTTTCAGGTGAATTTTTGCAAAGTTCCCATGAGCAGAAAAAGAGCCAATGAGAGGAAGGGTCTTGTTTATTGAGATCCTTTCCAGGTGACCCCAGGTGGGCCACAGGCCCATTCACTTTCTCTGCAAGCCTCTGCTTCCTGTGGTGATGGGAGGCCTTTGTCCTGGCCCACCCAGAGCCCAGGGCAGCCTGTCGGGGTCCTCGGATATTCAACAGGGATCCTCCATCCCTCCCTGTCCCCAGGCCCCAGTGTCTTTTCAGGACTCAGAGCTGGTTCTCTGACTCAGGCTCCATGTCCTTCCCCATCCCCAGGGCTGGGGGGTCGGGATGCTCCATCAACCCACAGGAGCAGCTCCCAAAGGAACCTAAGAAGCCACATCTCCTTTTCGGTCCATCCGGCAGTAAACGTTTGTGTCATGTTTTAGCATTTCCTGCAAAAACAGAGAAGAGGCCTAAACCCCTGTAACAGCCTTCTCAGAACAGGGTCTGGTGTCTCCCAGGCTCTGGGCCCAGCCAGGGCTGCTCTGGGGCTGAACCTGGCTGTGCTCAGGGGATTCCTGCTCCCAGGCCCCTCCCTCTTCTGCTCACCACCCCCTGTTCTTATTTTCACAGCAGTTTCCTAGATCTCAGAGCTCAGCCGGTGCCAGTCGGGACAGATCCTGGGTCCCCTGGGGCCTGTGGGACCAGAACATCCGTGGCCCACACTCACCTCATAGATGGGAGCGGCTGTCCTGGGGCCAGGTC